TTAACAACGAACAAATAACCCTAAAACTTAATCAACTCTGAATGTGCACTCACTCCAGGCAGTGCAGAGAGGAAGCCCACCAAATTAAGGTAAATTATCTATCCTTACATACATATACATCTAATTCATGTTACCTATTCATACAGGTGCTACAAAATTATGGTTTTTGTGGGAATGTTGTCTGCATGATGGGCTCTGATTCCATCCCATTTCATTGCAGGCAAGATTGGATTGCCTTACCCCCCCCCCCCCCAGTTGATCATGCAAGCAAATGAGGGAGGGAGTCAGTCTGTGAGTGATTCAGTGCACAGACATAGTACCCAGAGTGAATGAGTGAGTGAGTGAGCAAACTGCCCTTGTTTGTTTGTTTGTTTGTATGTTTGTTCTGTTTCTATTTTATATTCTTATTGACATGAGATGCCTCCCATGGTTATTGGTTTTTTTGTCAGAGCCCCTTCCAGTGCCCTTCTCTTCCAAACACAACCATGGAAAGGCAGGGGAAGAAAAAGCAAAATCATATGGGAAAGGGGAGCCAAATGTTGTAGGATTGTTGAAGACAAATCCTCAAGTGAAAGGGGCAGGCAACAATAAAATAATAAAAAATAACAAAAAAGAATAAAAAAAGAATCAGAAAGAAGGCATCACGGGAGCCTTTTGGATTTTTATAAGCAGACAAGCCTACTAGTAGGTGCAGCTGAGGGAGGGAAACAAATAATACAACAACACAATCAAAAACAAATAGATCTGAATTGGGAACTGGAAGTGCTAATGCAGACAACTACAGTGAGAGACTAGGGAGGATGGATAAATAAATGAGTGGATGAATCAACTCACATGCAAATTGGTGTCCATTTTGTTTTGCAATAATAATGATAATAATCATAAATTATCATATGGAAGCCGAGGAATCTATGTGGCAATGGCAGCAGGTCTCCCTTAGCTCCTTTCCAGTAGTAGCTGGTGGTAGGAGTGGCCATAGTAGTGGAGGTGGTAGTGGGCTGCGGTCATCACCAAATTAGGTGGCACCATCAATTTCATCCCTCCAATTGGAGGCTAAGCTAATAAGGGTAATGGTTTTTTCTACCTCCTAACCCCATTTTAGAGGCCACAAGAGGTGATACCTGTCAGACCAAGACCTAGTCTCAAACGCTATTTTGTATTTATCCAGCTACAACCCCCCTTTACAGGATCTGATCTCATGCAGTCATTACTTATGAATTAATTAATTGCACCTTGCTACACAGTCCACATCCAACCCTAACCCCACATTCCGAAGCATTGCCACCCTCATTCTGAAGGACCTGTCCAGACCCAACACAGCTCCACAAAGCAGTAACAAACAGACAAAGATGAAAACAAAAACAATTTTTCTGTGTTTGTGGGGTTTCCCCTTTAGTTGTGTTTGTCTTTGTCTCATTTGTCTCTGGTTCCATCCCTTGACCTAGTCCATGCAATGGGCATGATTATGAAGATAATTTTGACAATAATAATAATAATATTAACAAGAAGTAGATGTAAGACTGTTAGATTCTAACCATTTTGTTGCCTTTCAAAATCAATTCAAAATCTTAAAATAACAAAATGAAGCGGGAAAAGTTTGTTTTAATGGATCTCTCTCTCTCTCTCTATCTCTCTCTCTATCTCTCTCTCTCTCCAGCTGGATTCTTGCATTCTCACCTGTTAACTATCTTTTAATAGATTTTGTTTTTGTTTTTTTGTTTTTTTTTGTTTTTTTGTGATGGTTGGTATTGTTAGCATTGATATTGTTATGCGTAATCAATGACATTTTTAAAATGAACCAATGGGGTCATTGTGTTACAAGTCTACATGGATACAACCTTTCAAAGAGAACACATCTTGACACTTGCCCTTCACCATAGAGCTTCAATGAGTTTTGTGCTGAGATAATGCAACTTAGAATCAGATTGAACAGAAATGAACACAAATATGAAATACAGGTATACATAAACTGAAATAATACTGTTTGAATTTTTAAGCCCTAAGAACTGACTCAATAACTTTATTATGCATAAAAACATCCAATCAAACTTTGTGATAATTGATACTTCCCAATTTCAATGTTTTAATAACACTTGCATCAAATGAACCAAGCAAGTATATTTTTGTTAAAAATTAGAAAATATATATATATATATATATATATATATATATACATGAATACACATACTTCATTCAATAAAATCTTTAGAATGACCTAGGAAATCATCATATTAAAGAACTCAAATATGTGTACAAGGTTCAATTTGATATGGATGGTATGCTATAAAAAAGAATGTTAAATTCCAAAAATAGTTGGAATATATATATATATATATATATATATATACATTCTTTTTATTTTTCATTGTCAGAAAATGTTGGGATTAAGGTTACATATATACTAAGGGTTTTATGTTGATAAAGTTTAATTCATTTTTAGAATCATACTATGTGTTTTAAGGATGTAGTTTAAGTTATAGTTCTTAGTTTTATAGTTTTTTTTTCCCAAAAAACCTTTAATAACATAAATATGTTAAATTTGGGGTATTGTTGATTCCAAATTCTTGAGTTTTTAAATTGACACCTCCCAACAATCCTTTTGGTTTTGTGAGGGGAGGACGGGCCTTTTGACTTCCCTATAGTTGAATATGTGTTACATGTCTACTGTGCCAAACAAAGGTGTACCCCATCTATTTGCATGACCCGAACATAGTCACTCCCTAATTTGAGACTCTCATTAGGAGTTGTCATAACTCTAGGTTGGATGCACTTGCTTCTATCACCTTGCTTCTACTACATGAGGTGTGCCTCAATTGGCAACAAAATTTGCTAGTGGAGGGGAGGAAGGCAAAGATGCCATAATGGTGTAGTAGTTATGTGAAGGAGTGCATGTGTGAGACAACAATGATGTGGGCCTTAATGAGTGATACAAAATGGCATTGTGATGGAAGCAGTCCACTCATGTCAGATACCACAAGCATGTAACATGTATACAACAGTAGAGAAATGAGAGGGCCTAGCCTCCCTTCTCAAAGCCAAAGGGTCATTGGAAGATGTCAATTTAACAACTGAATGGCATTGCCTTAACAATACCCTAATTTGAACGAATATATTATTAATATTGTTTTGAAACATTTTCAGAATATTGCTTATTTGATTGATGATGTTACAAGACTTGTCTAATTTATGTTGTGGCAAGGAAATTAGAGAAGTCTCAGACAAGTCTAGTCATTTTCTACAAAGACAACATGTATACATGTGTGTGTATGTATATATATATATATATATATATATACTAATGCTCTCATACGTAGTTATGATTTCAACTTTATTAATGAATATTTAGAATCTATAGAATCTATAATAGCAATTTTCAACATGTTTGTTCATAAAAAGTAAAATTTAGAAGGAGTTGGAGGCTAGGTCTAAGACTTGTCTAATTTGTGTTGTAGCAAGCAAATTAATTTGAGAGGCAATTACTACCATATTTTTTTAATACCTACTTAATGTCAAACTTGCTTTTACAACAATGTACAAAATTTTATCAATACACACACACACACACATATAGATATAGATATATATATATATATATATATATAGTAGTTATCTTTCAAATGGGATATTTTCCTCAAGAAGTTGCAATGGTCCATGACATTGAAGTGTCCTTCAATGTTATGACCAATTGTTGAGTGGACAAAGGATTCCAGCATTATAATTGATGGAGGGGAAAAAAATTGACTGCTTGATATTCACACTAGAAGCAAACAATCAACAAACATTTTGGTCAAAAGTGTGTACATGACAACTTTTTATGGTATTTTTGGTGCCAAGAAGTTGTTTGTTCAACAAGAAATTAAGTTGGACAAGAGTAGACATCCAATCCTTAATAAGCCAAAAACAGTTAATGTAACTTGAACACATGGTCATGGTATTTGTGAGTTTAGTATAATTTTAATAATCCTTTAAAATAAAATTTCTCAATTTTTTCAATATTCTTTTGATATAAAATGCCCCATGTCCTGAAGAATGGTGAGTAGTATTTAAAATAGAATAATTTATTTATCTATTTATTAAAATATAAATTACATCAAATTTTCCTCTAATTATTTATTAAAATTTTGTACCTGAGATTAAATTGATCGTCAGCAATTTACTCGTTTTTTTATTCCCGAGAATAGATAACTTGCAGAAAGAAAACCCCTTTTTATTCATCAAGTTTAATCTATTTTTCTCAAAAGTTGTTTTCGAACTGTGATTTTTCCACTCTGTGCACACATTGGTTTAGTACTTGGAATTAAGTGAAGAATGTTGTTTATTTTTATCATTTAATCTTTTTGTCCACAATCTATTATTTGGTTTTTTTTTAGTTCAAAAAAATGTAATAGCATGCATTGTTGTAAATTGCCCAGTGTTCTAAGAATTGAAAGTAAATGCTTATGACCATGTGGTTTTGATCTGTGTTTTAATCCCTTTTCCTTTTTCATGTGATCAAGTGGATTTGATTTTAAGTGCATAAGGAACTTCTCTCCTATGTATGTATGTATGTTTGTACACACACACACACACATATGAGCACAATCGAAGTTAATGTAATGCAATTTGAGGCAGTTTTGGGGATACAACGGGAAACAAATGGGGAAACAAAATGGAAGAAAAAGGAGAAAGTGTGAAACATGGTAAAGGAGGTGTGGATACTGAGGAGGTGGAGGAGGAGTAGGAGGAGGAAGAAGAAGAAGAAGAAGAAGAAGCAGCAGAAGCAGGAGGAGGAGAGCAGTAGAAACTGTGTGTGGGTGTTAGTTTTTTATCACACACAGTGGGGGCATTGTTTCTCGTGATGGGAAGGTGAGTAATCCGTGAGCCAGCGAGGCAAGCAGGCAGTCCACGCGTGCATGCCTGTGGCACATGGCGATGGCGATGTGCATGATCGAAACAATAGATTTTATAATGAATCCTAAATTTTCCAGTCTTCTCTGGAAAGAATCCGGATTACTCTGACACGTTTGGAGCCCTTCGGACACCTGCAGTTTTTCTCGCTCGCTTGCTCGCCCTTGACCGCGGTATGGTCCATGTCTACCTACGTGGAGGAAGGATGCAGACTGTGGATCCGTTTTTACCTCGCTCTCTTCAATGTCTCCCTAGTTTGTGTTTTCTCTAGACTGGTGCTTGCTGAATCTGGTCGTCGAGCAGACTTTTGGAGATCCTATGGGTTGGTGGAACACACTCCGAGTTTCTGCGTGTGGTCTGCTTCTTCCATTCATCACTACCCTCTTCAACGTTTTGTAGGACTTTCGTGGTTTGGAGGAATTCGGGGTCGCTGTCGCTTGCAGGTGGTTGCAAAGGAGGCAATGTCGGAGGTGATGGTCGAACCCTCTCTCTCTCTCTCTCACTCACTCTCACACACACGCACAACGTTGACATCTATTTGACACTGATTCGTTCTTATTTCAATTCTATCACAAACCTTGACATTCTTAGTAAGTGAATTTGGGATGGTAATTTGGAGCAGATTTGTGCATGATGGATTTAGTATTTCCAGGGGATGACGTGGCGCTGGCTGTGGAGGATTTTCCTTTGCTGTCCGTTTCTGTTACTGTTGCCGATAAATGTCTCTGTGGTTGTGAATGGACAATCATCCCCCACAGTTTTAATATTGGATTCATAGCCAATGATGGGGTTCGACGAAGGTATATTTTAAAAAAGAAAGACTTTTGCATTACATTCAAAGCCTGCAAGACTATAAGTTTGCGTGACAAAGCGCGATATACGAGCAAGGAAGTTCAAAACAAGCACAGCGCAGATGACAGGGTTGGCAATGCCTTCCATCTTCGGCACCCGATGTGAGCATATCGACTGGCCGCCTCAGGTCACCAAACGTCAAGAATAATCAGACACAAGCTTCGAGCTCCTCTTCAAACTGCTTTTGAAAGACATCATCGTCAGTTGAATCGGTGCCCATGTCTGAAAAAACAGACGTGCATCCATTCCGGTTCGTACGTCGCTCACTCAAACTGAGTGCCTATTTGCAGGAGCGATGTGTTTGCAGGAAGCTCTGCTGCAGGGTCTCGCATCAGATGTGAAGCACGATGACACTATTTAGACTCAGCATCCTCGTATGCTGTTTTAAGGTATGCACTGGGCGGATCGAGCGACATCGTTGTCGGTACCTGAGCTATCAGACTGAACTTAAAGTCGCCAGGCTCCACTACCTTAGATCGGTCTTGAGAATGTGCGGGCAAAGGTGTGGGGTGATGCACTAACTTGAGGGAGCGGTGGGTAAGTTTGGTATGTATGGCACTGCGGTGGATTTGTGCTGGAGATTATCAACATGACTGCGTGGTTCCCAGTGCAGAAAAACCGTTAAACGGCATTCTAATAAGACCTTCCTTTGGGGATGGGGGATGGTTCAACGACATATTAAAGCTGGAGCTTTGGTGGAGCTTCTGTTCCTGACAGATCCTTCCAGAACAATACTGCTCATCAATGCCTCTGCGTCGGCATTCAATGATTCAGTCTGCGGCAGCATGAATGTGGGGAGCTGCCGTTCTCATCGTCCGTTAGTGATTAGGCTGCGGCGTCGTCAACCCCTTTCGGCTCCCACAGTGATGAGCTCACGTTGCCATTTAGACTCTTTTATTTTGTTTTTTGTTTTTATTTTTTATTTTTATTTTATTCTTCTGTTCTCCCACTTTCCCGCTTACCTGTTTTGATTCAGTTCAAAGTTTGCATTAAAAACAAAAACAAAACGGTTTGGAAAATGCAGCAGGCCGGGATCCATCTTCATTTCTTTATACAAACGGTATGAAATATGAATTAGTCTGGAAACAAATTAAGCATCTTGACATGGCTCTGTGTATTGTCATTATTGTAGATGGGTGGTCTGTTGCTCTGTAATCAAGCGCGACATGGAATTATACTGGAATTTTCATACTGCTACTGGATGAGTTACAAAAAGTACCAGAAGTTAATGCAGTAGTTCTTGATTGAACCATTGCGATTGAAATTTCTGTAAAAGTTTGTTTTTAATGCACCATTTGAAATGTTCTTACACACTTAATGTATGCTTTAATTAAGATTTCAAGTTTGCATAACTTGTGGAAAGGAGTGTTTCAAATGTCAGAATATCAACTCGGGACATTTTTAGAAATAACTATAATATCAGTTTGTGTAACATGATTCTTTTATTGTAATTCGGCTGTCCAGCTCATTTGAGAATTCTGGACGAGTAAAAGAAGATAAAATTGTGTTATTGTGTTATTGTGTTACGTTTTTTACTGGAAACATATTTACCTAGCATTGTCCTTTGATTTAAATCATCACAATTTAGCACATGTAAATACTCAGAGATGGATGTATTTTTGTATTCTTACATGCACTGATACTTTCTTTAATTCTAAGATGTAATATGTAACTTTAATTGTATTTTGTCTCTAACTATTTTAACTGTTGTGTCTTGCTTTGTCAATGCTATATTTACTTTTGAATTAAGTGGAACTTAAAAAGTTAAAAGAATGAGTTATACACATCATAGCCATGAATTAATAAAATAAAATAAAAAATGAATATAGCTCATCAAAAAATATATATATATACAAAAATACAAACAAACAAACAAACATGAATCAATTTACTATTTATTTTTAAACTTCTACAAAATAAATTTAATCTTTTACACTCTCTACTAGTAAAGTACTGGTTCATGTGTAGAAGGTGAGGCAATTCGGACAATGTAAGTAGATGATTCTAGCCAGCACCACAGATGAAAGAAAAGGCACTTTAATATACGTCAATTAGACTGCAAAATAATAATAATAATAATAATAACCCCTCTCATCCAACCTCCAACTAAATTTAAACATCTTTCATCAACGATACTAACGACGATATCATCAAAAGAGATTGGATATTTTTGGTCACGTTTGAATTTCGAACGTTTTGAGAACATTAGAGAAATGGAATTAATATAAATAAGATAAAAATTTATTTAAATTATTATTGCAGATAATTAGAATCAGATATTTCTTGGGGTGCCAATTAACAAAGAAATGATACTATCAACTTTTATTCTAACTTAACAAAGCCATGGTTTAATACAAATATTTTTTATTATTCTTTGCATACTTCTTACATCTATTTGGAAAAGACATCTGAAAGCTATCGAAAGTTCTAGAGTAATATTAGAAATCTTTATTTATAATAGAAATTTAAAATATATTTTCATTAAAATAATATTTAAAATGAAATAAATCCAAATTAGAAGTATGACTAGATTCTTTAGAATTTAAAAAATCCATGACAAATATAATATTAAAACAGATTAATATTTTCAATTCAAACACCGAAAACACAGTTAAATATTGACTCGAATATGCTCAGTCAAATATAGAAGAGATGTGGTATTTTTTGTTTTCATTTTTTTTAATTACTGTTCTATATTATAAAAAAATAAAATAATGTCCAAAAGTTGAAACAGGGTTTGACAATCTTTGGCGATAAAATTCTAATACTTGTATTTAAAATTTCTGAAGTCATTCAATAAAGCATTTGATAAAATAATATAGTCGAATCTAGATTTTCCAATATCTAGGAGCAATAGAATAATTGAAAGAACCAAAGAGTTTTTTAAAAAATAGTCTACCTCAAGTTTAAAATATGTTGAATGATTTTAACCATATTTTTTTGTACTTATATTGGCTAAAGTTAAAATATGGTTTAGGCTTTTTCTAATACCATATTTTTTGACTTTACATTAGAAGTACATATCTTGTTTATTTATGGGGAAAAAGTGTTGGTTTTTTAACTTTTTAAATAAAAAAATATATTAGTTCTTACAATTTGTTCTTACAATTTGGTAGATAATTTTTTTTCTTTTGCTGTATGTTGATTCTATAATTTATTTCGGTGAATTAATTTTATTTTTTTCCTGTCCAGAACATGTGTCCGTATATCAAACTAGTATCTATCTCACATTAACAAAGGACTGTTTATTGATTATAGAACCTTGAGATCATCAGTAAAAAGGGCAATTAATATCTAAATTAGAAAATACAATGAAATTAAATAGAGAAGTATATGTATATATTTTTTGAGAATTACGGATGGAGGTTGAAAAGAGCATTAAATATTCTTTAATATTTCTACAAACCTATGATATGACTCATAATTGTACACGTGCTATTGAAGGAATAAAATAATAATACATATGGCTAAACTGGTCAAAGAATTATTTGATTTTTTTCATCCACTGTGTAACTTAGTACAATCTAAACAGCAGAATAAAACCATACTACAACTTCGAGTAAAAAGAATTTTGATTCAAATTAATGGGAAAACATAAAAATAAAAATAAAAGTAACTAACTAACCAACTCATCGTCCTTACACAAATTAACCTATATGCATCATTATCTTGTATTGTGTGCATACTCTACAATACTGAAGGTTTTGAAAATATAGACAAACACGCCAAATTTAGAGTTAGATTATATATATTTTTAAAACAATATAACAATTAGTTCAAATTAAAAGGGAACTTTAAATAACCTTTATTTGGTAAGAATCAATTCCTCACCGTTAAAATAAACAATAGATTTCAGGACTAAAACTATCGAGAGTACTACATTGTAAAACATAGATATAGATTATTCAAATTCAAACAAATGTACTAATTTTAGACATAAAGGCATGAAATGATAATAAGAAAGGTACTATATATCAAGTAACCAAATCTTAAGATTTTCTTCATGATCCTAGAGGTATTCAAATCACTACAGTCTCCATTGTTTCAAACATGCTAAATCTCAACACTGAATTTTCATTTTAATTTTGATTTAGATTTGTTTGCAAAACAAGCTTTCCTCAAACATGGACGGATGAAGAATCGTGGATGACGTTAACGAACGAATTTCGCATCCACGCCAGGTTTGACCAGTTCAGCGGAGGACGGACAACCCTACGAGCAAAGAAACCGGGGGCCACTACCACAAAGTTAGTGCCAAGAAAGGATTGCAAAGAAGGAAGCCTTCGAAATGGAGGCAAAGCTGCCGTGTGCGAAAGGGAGAAGGGAACACCAGCAAAGGGACAGAAGCAGGAAAGTAGGGCAGGGCAGGGGGGGGGGGGGAAAGGAAAAAGGAAGGAGAGGCTGGGATTCCATGGCGTCGCACGAAAGCGTCGCTGAAGGTGCTTTAAATCCACGCCTCCGCCTCTCTTTGTCAGAGGGCTTTGGTACTAATAAGAGGCATACATGTGCAATGAATGCGCGGGCAGCGTTTTCCTCCGCTCGTTGCATCGTCCTTCTTCTTCCTCGTCTTCCCTCCCTCCCTCCTCCCCCCTCCCGCTTTACCAACAAGCGCAGTAATGTCTCTCTCACTAATTAATTAAGACTCCGCGCATCTCGCATTAGTGGCGTTCCACCCCTGCATGACGTCGTCGTCGAAGCTGTGTGTCCGAGAAGCCTCCTGGCTCCAATTTTCCTATTATGTCGTTTCTTCCTATATTAAATTGAGAACAAATCAAAACATCAATTAATGACGATTAGGGTACTACCACTTCTTAACATTGTTAGGAAGAGAGGAAGGGAGGGACCACCTGGAGAGAAGAGAGAGCGAAAGAGCAGAGCAGAGGAGGGGCGATATCTTGGGTTGTGGGGGGGTGGTTCTCGCCGACAATTACGGCGGACTCATGCGCAAGCAGCGCAGCAGCACCAAAACAACAAGAATAAGGGACAGGGAAGGATGAAGGGAAGGAGTATTTCGGGTTCCCGCCTCCCGGGAGCTGATTCTTCATTCATTCATCCATCCATCCATCTATGCATGTGAGAGTGCATTGTAGGTGCGGCCATCCTGGTGGGTGTGTGGATGAAGATGGAGGGGTCATTCATTCCTTCTCCTTCTCGTACACCGAGCGGCCATTGGCATCTTGGTAGCGCCGGGGCATGCCCCCGCTCCCTCCCCCAACTCACTCGCGCCTTCTCGACCCCTTCCCTCCATCACCCCCCCAAATTGCACTTACTCCCCATGGCGGCGCTCCCATCCCCACTGCCCTTGCGTTCCCCTGGTGTTCCCTTCCCCCCTCACTCCCCTCCGTGACTGGACTGGACTGGGCTCCGGTGTTTCTGCTGTGAGAGCCAAATTGCAATGTTCGAATCCAAATTCCAGGGGGAAAATGATTCCCTTCGGTGCAGTACAATGTTAAATGAGCTGCTGCATCATCAGCAGCTCTACAGCCTTTCTTCCTTTCTTGCCTCCCCCCCCCATTTCCTCTGAGTTACATAAATGCACCTGGACAGATTTTCAAACCCTGAGGGAGGATGAATCTCACATTTTTCTAGCTTTCTTTCTTTCAGTGCAGCATTTGGCAAAGTTGTTGCACTGGGAGAATAAGGGAGTGGGGGTGGGGGGTGGTTCTTGCATTGGATTCCTTACAGTGTGGTGTGAGATTTTGGGTACCACTGTCCTGTCTTCATGTACACTTCCCATTTTTAATCACTCTTGACTTTTGACCAAAACTCTCATTCTGTGGTCTCCAATTGGACTATTCTAGCATCTTCTTCCTTTATCCTCTTACACTGCCAATATTAGAATCCATGACACATGTTTAGAGTACTTCATCTTTTCATACATGTGGTTTTTCTAAAGGATCCCCTCTCTAACATAACATTTTTTAAAACAATCCTATGACATTAGTTATAATTGGTTGAATCATAGACTATGACTTTGGTCTCCACACAGGCTTGACAAAAATTAGGTAGGGCTGAATGGTCTCAAGTTATTCATAGTTTTTTTTTAATTAAATATATATTATTATTCCACACAATTTCAAATTAAATATTTCAATCTTAACCATATGCTCAATACAACCCATGTTATGATGATTAATGATGGTGAAGTTCCTTTTTATTCTTTTTCAAGGGATGCATTTGAACCATACTTTCAACATCTTTTGTATACAAATGTAACTTACAATAATGCCAACAAAAAATAAAATAAGGGTTTTGCTCACAATCCATTGTTGTTCCCAGACCTATGCAGAGGTG